AATCCTTACTGGTGTGAGGTGATATCCCATTGTGGTTTTAATTTGCATTTCTCTGATGATTAGCGATGTGAAGCATCTTTTCACGTGTCTGTTGGCCATCTGAATTTCTTCTTTAGAGAACTGTCTGTTAAGCTCCTCTGCCCATTTTTTAATTGGATTATTTGCTTTTTGTTTGTTGAGGTGCGTGAGCTCTTTATATATTTTGAATGTCAGCCCTTTATCGGATCTGTCATTTGTGAATATATTCTCCCATACTGTAGGATACCTTTTTGTTCTATTGATGGTGTCCTTTGCTGTACAGAAGCTTTTCAGCTTAATATAGTCCCACTTGTTCATTTTTGCTTTTGTTTCCCTTGCCTGGGGAGATATGTTCATAAAGAAGTCGCTCATGTTTCTGTCTAAGAGATTTTTGCCTATGTTTTTTTCTAAGAGTGTTATGGTTTCATGACTTACATTCAGGTCTTTGATCCATTTCGAATTTACTTTTATGTATGGGGTTAGACAGTGATAGAGTTTCATTCTCTTACATGTAGCTGTCCAGTTTTGCCAGCACCATCTGTTGAAGAGACTGTCATTTCCCCATTGTATATCCGTGGCTCCTTTATCGTATATTAATTGACCATATGTGTTTGGGTTAATGTTTGGAGTCTCGAATATTCTGTTCCACTGGTCTGTGGCTCTGTTCTTGTGCCAGTATCAAATTGTCTTGATTACTGTGGCTTTGTAGTAGAGCTTGAAGTTGGGGAGCAGCTTTTAATGCTAATGAACTGTTTGAACAAATTTTTAAAGTACTTATTAAAGTCATTTGCTCATTTTCCTGTTGACGTGTGTGTCTATCATATAGATACATGAAAGTTCTTTATTTTCTATATACAAGCATTTTGTTCGTTATATGCGTTGAAAATATCTTATCCTATGGAAAGTGTTTTAATCTCTGTCTTAGTCTGGGCTGCTGTAACAAAAATAGAGCTGGGTGGCTTAAACAACAAATGCTTATTTCTAACAGTTCTGGAAGCTGGGAAGTCTTAAGATCAAGGCCCTGGCAAAGTCAGTGTCTGGTGAGAGGAGTACTGCTTCTGGTTCATAGTCTGCCATCTTTTTGCTTTGTCCTGTGGGGAGCTCTCTGAAGCCTCTTTTATGAGGACTCTAACCCCATTCATGAGAGATGAATTACCTAAGCACCCACCAAAAAGTAACCCTTTTCCCCCAGATACCATCACATAGGAGACTGGCCTTCAACATATAAACTTTGGTGGAATACAATCATTCTGTAGCATTCTCCTAATGGACAAATGATGAAAAAATGTTCTTAATCATAATGTGATCCTATGTAATAATCTTTTGCTGTATGGCTTATGCTTTTTTATGTTTTGATTATGAAAAACGTCCCTACCCTGAGGTCATGAATGTGTTTTCTTACATTATTTTGTAAGATTTTTATTTGCCTTTCACATTTTGGTCTATAATCATCTGAAGATTTTTGTGTTTGTGTGCGTTTATGTGTATGGATTAGGGTGTATTAAATTTTTTCCCTTATAACCAGTTGTCCCAATGCTAGTTACTAAGTAAACCATGTTTTTACCCACTTTTCTACAGTGCCACCTCTAATATAGCAAGGCTTATATATTAGAGGGTCTGTTTCTAGACTTCCTGTCTGTACTATTGGTTTAGTTTTCTAGTATTA